GCACCTTTATTTTACTTTAAGATATTTTTCTCCAATTTTAAAAGTGTTCTCGCATATGTGGCCTGTGGCTTAAATGAACGTTGATATTTAACCTTTTTTCAAGGGTTCCTCTCAATTTTAAAACGTGAATTTTAATTCGTTTGTGTAAGTGCCGACCGAACATCTGTCGACTTTCATAAAGGACTTTTGGCTGAAGGAAGTCGTATACCGGCGATTCCGCGGCCGGTTACCTGACACCAGATTGCGCCACACGTCGCCGACAAGTAAAATACATGTAGATTAGTTGTTTAGTGTATTTTATTGTTATATTTATTGTATGTTTGTTAGTCATTGACCATGATGTTAGCCCTTAAGGTGATAACCTATTTTTTGTTCGAAATAACGTTTGTTCGAATTTTCATTACACCGAAAACCGAATTGTAACGAAACAGTTGTTCTTTCAGGATATGTTGAATGTTTATCGCAAAGACACGATTAGGTTTGGTTAGGTTAGGTTTAAAAGAAAAAACATTTTCCTCTCAAAATTACTTTCGAGATTATGAAATTTCGACCAAACGTTATTTCTGGAAAATGTCGTTTCGGAATACTGATAGGTAACCCCTTAAGGTATATATGTATATATATTATATATGGGTCATATGGCCTAAAATAAATGTCTAAATAAAATAAATAATAAAATAAATAAATATAACCATGAGTATAGTGACACCATCAACGAGAAAATGATCACCCAAAACCTAGCAAAATACATACAAATGTACGTGCTCATAATAGTATAAATTACCAACTGTGCAACGTTTCCGTATCAATTTTAATGTGCCATGATTTGATACAACAAAATAACAACAGAAGTTTCACGACATATTGTACAGATATAAAAAAAATAACATCGATTGCGTTTGTCTGCAACGTTAAGTACTTACTCTATTGCTCTGAAAATCTTCTCCGAATCTTTGCCGTGAAGTAAGGGTTGCATCGCGATTTCTTCATCGCTCTGGTTGCCTTCGTCGTATTTCCTGTAATTTCAGGGTGTTACATTGAGTTTCGACATCAGCAATTTCGACGTATTTGGATAGCTCTCAAAGTTAAAGTCAAACAATTGTTTTTTCATAAATACCTCTAAGCAAATTATGTTTGAAATAGTCATAATGATTAAACTCTACTGCTCAATGGTAAGGCAGATTGCCCTGAGAAGAATGAGCCACAAACACTAGGGAGTAGTACTTATGAGTACTACCTTCTAGAGTTTGTTGCTTCTGGATGGAAAATGGGTGATGGAATGGAAATAGCTTAAGGCTAAGTTAACAGCGCATTATGGACCCCGTAAGGTACTGCAAATTACATTTATACAGAATCAAGATCTGTTCCAAGAACCAAGGTAGAATTTTAACTATTTAATCTTTTTTCAGCTCAGTTTGTTGTTCCAAAAATGGAACAGTAGAAGGTTTGTAAGATTTGTACTCACATTTCTTCTTCAGGTATTTTCCCATCCATACCTAGCTCTCGTCTCATCATGATACTGAGCGTTGGACCATCTTGTGTACCTAGAATTTGAATAAACTCTGTTATGGTAAGGACGTGACATTGTCCCTCCTCTTCCCCTCGATTTGCTACTTCACTAATATTACCAGTCTAAAAGTTTAACTGGAGAAGGGATCACGGTTTTTCAATGACGCAAAACCCTTTTTTCATTGAAAATGGATTTCATCATCATCATCAACCCGTTTATACGTCCCACTGCTGGGCACGGGTCTCCTTTCAGACGAGGGTTTGGGCCATAGTCCGCTACGCTCGCCCAATGCGGGTTGCGGACTTCACACGTGTTCCGAGGGTTCTCCTTCACCGAAAAGCTCATGATAAATTTAAAATAACATTTCGCACATAAATTCCCAGAAACTCAGAGGTTCGAGGCCCGATTCAAACTCACCACCCTCTGCTTGAGAGGCAGTAGGACTAACCATTAAGCTACCACGGCTTTCGAACTAGGATACCCATTTCTAGTATAGCTTTTTCTGAATATCGTATAGTAACTATATATTGATATTGGAAATCGGATTTCGAAACTATATATTTTCTGAAACTATATATTCATGGATACAGCCCGCGTGCGCGCTTCGTTGATACACTGCCGTTACTGATATTCGGTAAGCTTGTATAGTTCATGAGCTACGAACTATTAGGAATATATTCCCTACGCTGACCGACATGACCTAGTTCGTCTAGCACGGTTTTAATAGTTCATCGTTCTTTTTAGTTCAGTACGAACTAGGAAATGTCTGCGTTGATAGCTCACCTGTCTTTTATACAGTAGGAACGGTGCGAGCGGGACAAATAGCGATGTTTTACTAATTGTAGTACAAGTTCGATTGGGATGCACGATTGAACGTTGCCAGCTCGTTCTAAGTCTCTAATACGTATCTATATTGTGTATATATACAAGCTTGCAAAAAAGTAGTAGTTTTTGGTAGGTATCTGTATGTATAATATCAACCTACGTGTACGAGTATATGAAATAGTTGTACCTAAAATTGATTTTTAAACACACTATTCTAACTAAAATTATTATTTTGTAAAAAAAAAGGATATTTAGTTAGAATGACTGTCTTTAAACCTGTAAAATATGAAGGAAAATCAAATAGTACCGATTCCATACAAAATGTATTTTAAATATTTAGTACAGTGTAGTATTGACCTCATAATACAAGAAGTCCGTAGTAGTTCATGTGAATAAAATTACTAGTTTGGAGCGTTCGCTCAATGTCCGAGCAAGGACAAGACGAACTAACTAACTAAGGAACTGAACTAAATGAACTAGAAGACCGACCTAGTTCAGTTAACCGATTGAAGTAACTAGGATCGCTCCCTAAGGACCGATCAGGCACAAGTCTAATATTCGAAATCAGAGATCGAAACTATATATTATTGGACATAGTTTTACAAGAGCAATGCGGACCAATGTTAGTTTACAGTTTCGAAGACACACAAAAAATGGTTTCGCGTTGATATCCACTCAACGAATATTTGATACGAAGCAATTTCGGTATATAGTTTGGATAATATACGATTTCGTGAAATATACGATGAAACGTCCGAAAGATGCCTCTTCAATCGCTGCTTAAGAGGGAGCAGAGGAAAAATTCCTAATCTTCGATTTGATTTTAGAGGGGTATATCCACTTTAAAGTTAAAAATAAAATATTGTATGAGTAACTACACGATATATTCAAGCATAGACATTAATCAGAAACATAAAACAATAAAGTTTCCTCTATAGATAAAAATCACGAAATGACCTCTAATTTTCACATTTTGTCGATTTATCCTCGAAATGCTACAGGTTATTAGGACAAAAATTAGATAATTAATTATATTAATGCATGATCGACAACTGTCACTACGGATTTTTTTTTAATCCCTTTAGTTTTAGAGTTATTCCGCTAAAACTAATTTGGTACTTTTAATGCGCAAAATTCAACATCTCCTGTCGCATGCCACGCGAACTTCAAGCATATATTTGTTTCACAAATTGGGGCCGAGCCAACATCAAAACTTTTTTGGCATGAGAGCTCTTAAAGTGTTGTTTGTACTCGAAATAATAGATGAAGGCAGGAAATAATCATTCCCGGACAACTCTTAGTACGCCTGAAGGGAATATAACCAAGTGACGTTGATATCTCGCCATACGTTTGTTGCCTGTAGGACCTCAGGTGTAAGGGGGCTGAGTAGAATGAGCTGGTAGAGCTCATAGACACACTTTCCGAAATACAATATGTGGAAAACCGACTATTTTTTTTTGTTTTATAATATCAAGTGACGGGACTAACAAGGCGTACGCCTGATGGTAAGCTAGACGCCTGTCCATAATAGTTGCAGTGCCACTCAGAGCTTTAAATCTGGGGGGCACTATCACTGCGCCCGTCACCTTGAGACATAAGTTGACAAGTCCCATGTGCTTGTAATTTCGAGCTTATCATCCTTAAGCCTCCTGGCTCTGCATTCAACTCAATCAAAAAAGCCTCAAGTTGATATGTCATTATTTAGCTTAAGTGAGTAGGTTTATAACAAACGCAGGGGAAGCTAGGTTTATACAGATCCTAAAAAGGGAATCATGTACCTTTACCGCGGTTTCCTTGAGAAAACAATACAGTATTACGGTTTAAACTAACTCAACTAACATTAGAATTCGTAAACTGTGATATAATTTTGTGATAAAATTTACCGTTAGGCGGTTTCGCTTTGGACGAATGGGGTATGTGGAAGCTCTCACGTCCATGTTTCTTGATACTAGTCCATACAGCTCCGAACAGTGTGTGGTTACGCTGAAAAAGAAGATTATTACTCGACGACGTCTACAAAGTTAATGACAATATCAAGGAAAGATTGTAATGAAAATGCAAAACTCCATTATTCGATCATTAATAGAACATTCTACATCACTGATAGACTTTGCTATACGATAAACGATATAAATCTAGGAAATGAAACTATTTTTCCGGATTTAAATCGCGTATATTTGATTTTTCAAACAAACCGACGTTTCGGGCCTTTTACAGGTCCAATGGTCACGGTTGACTGATGTGGTATAGTCTTCAAACAGTTATGTCTAATATTGATGCAGTGTTTTAGTTTATTCTAATTTCTATTACTAATCAATAATAAATTGAACTTAATAAAAATTCATTCAATAAAATAATTTGTAAAACTTAATATAGCGTAAATTGGAATGTTTTCTTTGTAAAATTAATAATAAGGTATTTAATTAATAACTATTGTAAGTATAGTGAAAAAATAGGGTGGTTTGCATCAATATTAGACATAACTGGTTGAAGACTGTACCACCTCAGTCAACCGTGACCATGGGACCTGTAAAGGGTCCGAAACGTCGGTTTATTTTGAAAAAACAAATATACGCGATTTAAATTCGGAAAAATAGTTTCATTTCCTATGTGTAACAATCGCGAAAACCTAAGAACTCGATATAAATCTACTTCTAAAGTTTATCTGCTCTGAATTACTGTGTTTCTGTACCCGTGGTCCAATCATATGGACATAGATGGACCATATTTGAAATAATTTCCCTTGCTCTAACTTTAAAATATGACCTATCTTTTTTCAAATTCATTATAATATTTTTATTTCACTTACTCTGTGCATAGGTTCCACAGCTTCAGATACAATTTCGTCCAAGTTGCCCGAAATGGTTCTTTTTAGTTCAGGCCCCGCTTCGTGCAAAGTTCTTAATCCAGCTTGTAATGTCATCTGTTCAGTCACTTGCGCAGCTTGCTCCTTGCGTTTTCGGAACCTTTTTTTGGAAGATTAGTTTTAGGGCGTGTTTTCATTTGAACGGTCAGCGTCAAAAAGGTCTATCTGAATATTAGATAAAAATCTACCTTAAGTTGACGTTTCAAGATTCAGTTTCTCGAAAGCTTTGGGACTATTCATGGCCCGAGTCAATTTACTAGACAAATCCGTAACATCGTCGACAATATAGTCACTTAACATCTTGCAAGCGAAATTGGTAAAAGAATATTCTCTTAAAACCATATTCTTTTTCATTGAAAAGGTAATTTTTATTAAAAGTCAGACTTTTTGAACAATATGTTCAAAAATCATTTTGACGCTGATAAAAACCATTGGTACACAACGGTAAACTAATATCGTTTTTCACGAGTGAAGATTCTTTAGTTAAATCTTGACGGCATGGCAGATAGATAATAAATTAGAATAGATAACAAATTTCTTGAAACCACAAATTTAAACACGTTTTCTAAAGAGGTTAATGCACTTAGTGGGAACTATTACGCTATTACTTAAAATGTATTTGAAATTCCAAACAATATAATATTATTGAATCACAAACATGTTTTCTCTGTTAAATGCTGAATTTCTATAAACTAAACTCACGTTGATTTTAATATTGTGTACAATGTTAAATAAGCCAATTGAAAAAAAAAACTCGTTTGTACATGCAAACAAATTTTGGCCACACACAATTATTTTACTCACGGCAAAAACACTTGAAAGTATCAGCAAAAGAATTATAAAGAATGCGTAAGTGGTTTGAAAAAAAAAAAGGATAAACAGAGAAAACATGCCTTGAATTTCAAGAAAATAATTCAAAAGTCATGCTCAAAAATTCTTCACAGCTTTTAATGTTTTTCAAAAATGGTGAGGAAAGCTGAAAAAGTGGAGCCATACGTCCGAATAATACACGAATTATAATAAACGATGTTGTACTCTAAAGTGAAATTGTCAGTTAATCTAAATGGACATTAATCGTGAATAAAATACAAAAACGAGATGCTAACTGCAAAAAGCCAGTTACAACAGTTAATCAGAAGAGGGACAATAATAATACCAAGAATTCTTCTTGTTTTTATCTTATTGACGGTGCCCTTTATTATGTTTCGCCCTTATTAATTTCAAAGGTTTCAGCAGACTCAGCTAATATTCTCAACGAATATTCTGGAAGAATATTCGGTGGTTCACTTCATCTTCCCTTCACCAAAATCAAATTTTCAGCTCAGAGTAGTTTAAGGGCATTTGAAGACTCTATTATAGAACTTTTTAGATTAATATCAAACGACCTTTCCTCTGCAAAAGTCAAATTGAAGCACAAAAAGGACCGTATGACTCCAATAAAAAAAAATTAATCTAAGGAATTCAAATCAGCTAAAAACCAAAATGACTGAAAGATTGTAGACAAGCGTCCTTGGATTTGACAAACTGGTAACCACTGCCAAGGATCAAGCTAAAAATACAGCAGGTAAGATATAAGTTGAAGGACAAAACGTCAAATTGCTGCAAGACGAATCTTTAACTGAAACATATTTTAACTTTTATATCCATCTATAGTATTGTTTTTAATGTCCAGGTAAATACTCAGTGCCTCTATAATTAATAATAGGCGTAATAGGAAATGAAACTATGTTTCCGGATTTAAATCGCGTATTTTTTTTTAAACGAACCAACGTTTCGGGCCGTTTACAGGTCCTATGGCCACGGTTGATTCAACCGTGACAATAGTTTAATTTCCCATATGTAACAATCGCGAAAACCTAAGAACTCGAATAGGTATAATCTTTTATTTTTTTTATTGTTTATATTGTTTTTCTTATTATACTTGAACCAGTAACAAAAAATATCAATAAAGACAATGCGGTCTTTCTGCGATTTATGACTGATTCAAGTGTAAATAGGTTAGTAAAAATAATACAATTATTTATCAAATTGCCGTTACCGGATAATTGATAACGAAGAATATACATACTTACGTATACACTGAAAAAAGTGAAGAGGTAAAACGGTAACGTACATAGTTTCCATCATAGCATATCAAGCATCATGATTGCAGCAACAATTATAAAAAAATAATTTTTTAATACAGTTGCTCAAAACGTGGTATTTTTCGCACTACAAATCGTGCGGAAAGTTGGATTTCTCGCACTAGTGCTTTTTACTTTTTTAGTTTTTTTTAATTTACTGTTGTTTTAAGTCTTTAAGACTTAAAACAACTAAAGAACTAAAGAAGTTGTATATTTATTTGATATTTATGTGCTTTGTGACGTACATAAGTCATTCGTCATTAAAACTTGTATTTATTTACAAATACTATCGAACGTATCGAGTGGAGGTCCACAGTCTCTGCCTACCCCTGAATGGGTGACAGGCGAGATTTTTATGTATATATTTATTTGTTCTATGTATTACATATAAATTGTATCTCACTACCGTGCACGGGTTCCTAAAGAAGTTTAAACAAAAGTACCAGGACTTCATAATAAGAATAGTGGTTACAGACCGATATTACAGAAAATAAACAAAAACAGCACGTTAGAACTAGATTTCCATAGACTTTTAAATAATGGCTGCAGTGGTTGTATTTCATTATTTTAATTTACTAGCAGAAAATGAGTTTTTTTTAAATACTGTTTTATTTTACTTTCAATGTAGTTTTTTCGCAAATGTATTAAAAAACGTCGTTTGATACACGTGCGGATTTGTCATTTTCACTTGTCTCGCGTCTTGACCCTCGCCTCTGGCTCGGGCCAAGAAGCCTCGAGCCTCGTGAATAATGACTAACTTTCCGCACTTATATCAAAAATAACTATTATCATGTTACGATTGATTTAATCAAGTATTTTTTAGTCTCACATGATTAAAGTCCACTTTTTCAGTGTATATCATTTCTTAATCCTAAAATTATCATAAAATTGGCCTGAATGTAGATAATACATAGCATTGTTATTTAGAAATGATATCAGGGACCCTAGTACTTTTTATAATGAACGGAAAAAGCTCATAACAATAAACAGCTCTTTCAGCTAAGACCTAGAAGGTGTTCCTCAATAAACCAATTATGTCATTATTGGATTCTCCGACAGTTTAAGAAATATTTAAAGTTAAGAGTTATGAAATTTCACATGTATATCATTTGTTTCACGTAATTCGCTTTATTTTTTATAATCTTTATGTCATAAAAGCATGTTTGACGTATAATCTCTTGTGACTATTCAAATTCAAATTCAAAATAATCTTTATTTCATAGGTAAGCATTATTACACTTGAAATCGTCACAATGGTTAAACTCTACCGCTCATTCGTAAGGCAGATTCCCCTGAGAAGAATGAGCAAGAAACTCTAGGGGTTGCTCTTTGTAAATAACATTTAATATTGTACATCAGAGACATCAGAGATCGAGACTACCTCCATGAGCTAAACGGGTTACTACCACGGATTTTTGTCATCCAAGTACGCAGAAGTTGTATAATAACCTTTAGTATAAAGTTTTTGTTTCACTATAGTTTTAAACCTCGTGAAAGGCAAATTTTGTATATCAACCGGAATCTTGTTATAGAAGCGTATACATTGCCCCTTAAATGATTTTTTGATTTTGTGAAGACGACTATCAAGAAAAGCTAGTTTATTTCTATTCCTCGTATTAATGTTATGTCTGTCACTATTTTTCATAAATAAATTACTATTCCTTTTAACATAAATTACATTTTCATAAATGTACTGTGAGGCTAGTGTAAGAATGTTAATTTCCTTAAACTTATCTCTCAAAGATACTTTGGGGCCCAGATTGTAAATTGCCCTAACTGCACGTTTCTGCAGGACAAATATTCTATTGATATCGGCGGCATTACCCCAAATCAAAATGCCGTATGTCATTGGACTGTGAAAGTAGCTGAAGTAAACCAATCTAGCGGTTTCGACGTCTGAAAGTTTCCTTATTTTTTTAATCGCGTACACTGCAGAGCCGAGCCGTTTTGATAACTTACTTATATGGGGACCCCATTGCAATTTAGCATCTAACGTTATACCTAGAAATACAACTGTATCCACAAGATTCAATTTTTCGTTTCTAACTACAATATTATTATTTTTATTTTTATTTTATTTATAATATATTATATCAAGGGTAAGTACGTACTGTTTTTTTGTGTCTTTTGTTTGTTTTAATTTGTAAAAACATAAAAACCCTATAACTGTGTACTTGTGTGAATTGTGATGAACTCTCTAGAGCATTATAGACTCTAACAGTCTGATAACAAATTTAAATGTGAATTAACCGCTGAATGATATTAACTAAGAAGCGAAACAAACAAATCTAATGATCAATGTATAATTAAGACGTATTCAAGTGATTTTTGAGATTAATTTATTAGTGCAAGCCGTAATACACTTCTTGTTTTGTCCATCAAACTAATATCCGATCTTAAGAAAACTGAAAAAATATAGCTAAAAAACTGAGGCGAAAACCTAAATCTAGACTTACGCATGGTTCCTAAAAAAACAGAAAATGATGAATTACTATTGATACCAAATTATTAATAAGTCACTGTACAAATAAGGTAACGGATGAGAAATTTGGAAATGTATATTGGAAAAAATAATAAATAATCTACTAAATGTTAAAGTTATGTCATTTTTTATTCATAGTAATGACACTGAAACTATAAAACAAACCTTTCATAATGTCCTCAAAATTTTACATCATAATTATTCCTTTGTTGTTGTATGCCATTAAGAATATTATAATAAATAGATTTAAGACAATAAAATTAATGCCTGTAAAATAAGTGAAACTTTCACAAACCTCCTGAAATAGTCCTGTATAAGAAAAGTGGCGTAGAACTTGCCAACGGTGATCTCATTGGGATCTCCAGGAGGCGGGACCACCTGATCCAGCAGTTTAGGCGATGTCCTCTTCCAAACTTTCTTGATAATCGCTCGAAGCTCCGTGTTGCAGTCATCGATTACACCTGGATGAGTCATTAAAAAGTAGTTTCAAAATTCTGCATGTGTCTTGGGATTTTCCTCAAAACCGCGGTCCACAAATAGAATGAAATGAGAACTGAATGATCTTTTCACGTCTGACTCTTTCTAGACTGAAACCCTATAGCGGCATGAACTTTAGTTTCTAAGTTCCAGGCATTAGTTTGATATCAATACATTTCGCTAATGATGAAGAATAGCATCGAGATGAAACTTGTGCGTCGAAGGCACTTCCATTGCGCCCAAGTGGCGAACTATAGCCAAATTACATTTAAAATCGTCACGTCGATTAAAATTACTCCTCATTCGCTGGTCAGATTGACTTGAGAAGAATTTTTCGTTTTTTTTCGGATCAATTTTGATATCTTCTGCATTTATTTATAAAAACATATATATAAGCTTAAATCTTCTTTATAGAAGAGACCTGTGCTCGACAGTTAGGCATATAACGATGATAGAAACGTCAGATAGACAAACGATTCGTCGTCCAAATAAAGTGCAATCTCAGCTACTTTTATAACAGCCCTGTAACATGACCGCATGATGCAATAGACTGCCTGTGGTCTTTAAACTGTGTTTCACTGTTTTTACTGAGCTATCCAGTCAAACTTCATCATTAGTAGAAAGAGTTTAATGAAATCCCGAAGCCGGAAAGAGCTGGAAATCTACGCGATTGAATTGTTTTTCGCCGTACATGGTTAGCCGACAACTCAAATTTGAAAAGCTTATGGAGGAACTTTCACGCCTAAAAATCAGGTTCCACAACTTACCCGTAGTTTTAATCTGCAACTGTGTTCTGACAACGGCGAACAGTGTCGCGTTAAAGTTAACTGTTCCATCAGAATTGAGAGGCATGTTCATTGACACCAACCTCTTACATGCAGTCCTATGGGGACATAGTTTGCCGAAACCTGGGACATACAAAAACTATCAGATAACAGTAGATAGGCTGGCACGATGAATGCGTTTGCATACCCTAAAAGATGGCCTAAAAGATTAAAGATAGACCGAATCCCTTGGCAAGAAGCTAATGACTATTGCTGAGTCAATAGCCCATAATTACGTCTTATCTTTAGAGAAACTTAAGACTGCAAGAAGGAATTTAATAGGGGATTAAAATGAGAAGTATCCATAAATTTTCTTATACAACAATCTCAAAAACGTCTTTTGGATTTTCTCCAGCTGCAGGGCCTAAGTAACCTCGTGTGGAGTCCAAACAATTGAACGTGCTTCAACGGTACTCCTGACTAGAGCGGTGTAAAGAAGTTTGAGGACTCTAGTTTTTTGAAAATTATAATGCCTATTATGTGGGATGGTGACATATCCTAGACTGCAGCTGATCCAATAACACAATGTCAGGCTTATTCACAAATAGTCCTGTTTGTGATGACGGACCGGTTTCAACACATTTTGGTGTATAGTTTTTGAATGTTGATTTCCATGCTAGTAACAAGGCATCTTCTATTGCACGACTGACTTATTACAATATAAACAAAAACGTTTATGTACCTAAAGGTGGGCTAATTTTCCTCAACAAGGTCACCACATCCAAGTGCTTTATCCGCCCTTTGGCATCAGGATCGTACTCGCTCCATAATCTGACGAACTCATCAAGGTGATGTGGACCTAGGATTGACCAATCGCGAGTCAGGTAGTCGAAGTTGTCCATGATAACGGCGACGAAGAGATTGATGATCTGAAACGAGAGAAAAAATCCAGTATATTGTTTTTGGTTAACTTTTCATCCCAAAATTTTTATAAATCACACACTTACCAAGAAAGTGCACAGGAGTGAAAATGAGATGAAATATGGATAGGCTAACATTGAACCACAGTTTTCAATTTGAGGGTCGTCGATAACACACCGCGGCGGATCGTTCGGACGCTCATCTTTGTTCGGAGACAACGCCATCATTATATCTTGCCATGCTTCTCCTGTTGATTGGTAATTAATATTAATTTACCCAGACAACAATCACCTGTATGCTTAATGTAGCTTTTTGGCTTGACACATTTTTTTATGCCATGGTGTGAATGTATTATTTCGTACGGTTTGGAAGTAAAACTATTTTTTGATGGCTGACTGCCATAAAATGTTATGTGTTGGTTTAAAAAAAAACAAATATTCATTATTGTGCCGCAAAAATCAAAGATCTCAAATTTGTTTCCTCAGTTCGGCGATACTTTCTATAAATTGCATGAGATGATATTAATATTATAGCAGAAAATTATAAATATTGTTTTATTTGTACTTTGATCTGAGTCGCGAGTCCTTTTCAATTTTTGCGTGTAATTATTTTTATAAAAGAATATATTTCGCTTTCATCTTTATCTAAGAGAATAAAAAAGATGTAAGATCGCACAATATTTGACATTCTTGAAGCACGTTCTTATTATTTTATTTCTGCGAAATATAAGATCGTCATCCCAAATAAAATTAAGGCATTTCCTGCCTTATATGAGAAGTAACGGAACAACAATTTTTCAACAAACAAACTTATTTCAAGGTGCCAACTAGATACCACTATATAGGAGTTTAGTTTTTATAATTGTTTCTTCGGGAACTAAATCCAAGATCTCTTAAGTAAAGCCTAAACAGCACAACTGATGACCATTCGCCAAATTGGAACGGTTTACATACCTGTAGCAGATCTGAAAAGGACCATAAGTGCTCCTCCAAAACTTTGAAAGTTATTATAATCAGTGATAACATCGTTATCTAATGCAATTTTTCCGAAAAGCTGAAAAAGAGAATCAATTATTTACAAAATTTATTTACATATGCCTGTGAGCGTTTATTCGCCCGATTGCGAGAAAATGGTTCTTAAAGTTGTTGAAGTTATAAAAACCATTTTAAAATATAAATCGGACCAATTGGTGTGTCTACAGGCGCCAAGGCGGTTCTGTTGCAAAAGCCCCTCTCTAGTTTTTTTTACTTTTGGTTTACTTGACACGACATATTTATGAAACACTATCTGAACCGGGGCAATGTCACATAGCGAGTGGACTACTCAATTGATCACGTATTAAAATGGACATCTAAAATAATATTGTGACAACATTACGCTCTGAGCGAAATGCAGGCAATGATGCCCCGAACACACGGAAGTTACACTATTTGTCTTATTATCATTGACTTACAATTATATGGACGTCGGGTCCGCGCTTAAAAGTGTCCGAACTTATAGGGCGTTAAAATCGTATACAGAGCGTCATTCACGCTTTAGTCTTCCTTTGTTCGACTGACAGCGAAGCAAGCAAAATTAGACAGTACTGCGATGACATTACAATTTAAATAGGTTGACTTGGGACATTTTTTTCGTGGTTTTTGTATTAGACCAGTCGTCCATTTATTTGTAAGTCAATGCTTATTATAGAATGATTACACTAAGAGTAAAATATGCCAGAGTAAATTTTTACAGACATACCTGCATCCCAACCACCGCATAAATAAAGAACAGTAAGACAATAAGTAGAGCTACGTAAGGCAGCGCCTGGAATGACTTGATGAACGTCCATAACAGGGTTCTTATTCGTTCGCCTCTTGATAAAAGCTTTATTAATCGCATCGCTCGGAACAGACGGAAGAATGTGATGTATTTCAGTAGGTTACCCTGGAAACAAAATTAAAGCTTTTTCTCCTTTTTATGACGTGTAATTGTGAATGAATGAATGAATAAATGAATGGATAGATGGATGGACGAATGAATGGATGAATGAATGGATGAATGAATGGATGAATGAATGGATGAATGAATGGATGAATGAATGGATGAATGAATGGATGAATGAATGGATGAATGAATGAATGAATGGATGAATGAATGGATAGATGGATGAATGAATGGACGAATGAATGGATGAATGAATGGATGAATGAATGGATGAATGAATGGATGGATGAATGGTTGAATGAATGAATGAAATATTCTTTCTTGCACATTAAAAATTACAATGATAACACAGAACAGTAGTGCAAGTATCACAAAGTAAGTTATAAGGATATAAATTTAAGAATTGGAAAGCGGGATTGAAGTGATTGATGTGATGGTTATCAAAATCAAGGAATACGAACAAAAAGGACAATTTAACGAAAACTACTACACCGCGTAGTAGAGATGGGCGTTGAATAGGCGAACTAGTCGAATCAACCGTCCACGTCCAATCGACGTTTCTACGGGTCTACCGTTCTTCGGTTAACTAGTAGAATTCGTAGACGGCTAAACGGAGAGTCCACGCGTTAATCAACGCTCTGCGTCACGAGACGACGCGCGAACTCAGTCGAATTATACATAGACTTACATAGACAAATTATTTTGAACTATAAATTCAGTAAGTGTAAGTTGATATTTGAATATGTGCGACGAAGTAAGATAGGTCTGTTATGCTATTTATTATTGCAATAGTGCATTCAATACAGAAAAAGTATGACGGTGTAGTTAATTCGCTAGAGCGAGAGAGAGGCGTTGCGCCCTTGAATCTATCGGAATTAAACTCTATTGCAGTATGTTAAAAGCGTCGATAGCCGCGCTCATGTTAAACATTAGAAATAAATTAATTTCTAAAACAATAGTTCATGTTCTCAAAAGTTACTTTAGTTGATTCAGTTAAACTCGTCTCACGACCGAAAACCAACTTAAGTTGAATGATCGACTAGTCGACGAATTTAACTAGTTGACCGACTAGTTGATCGTCCACGATGGACGGTTGCGTTTCGTTAACGGAAAACGCGTCGACGACCCATCTCTACCGCATAGTGCTAGCTGCAGTAACAGAAGGGCCATTAAATCAGCACTTGCTGCAAAAGGACATATAGTGAGATCAAAATATAATAGAGACGTGTGTGTGTGTATGAGTGTAAGGAAAAAAATATGACATACCCCTTCGTTTCCTGTCTTGACAATGACTTTGGCATCATCTTTTTCTTCATTTACTTGTGTCACGACGATGTCAATAATACTGCCCACTACGAGAATAAAATCGGTTGTGTTCCACGCGTCGCCGAAATAGTTCTATAAAAAAAATTAAATTGTGAAAATTTTTGTATTTTGATTCAAATTAGAGACGCGCGACCTGAGATCTTTTAAGCAGCCCTTAAGTTTTTTTTAAGCTACAGAGAACCTCTGTAGTATTTAAAGAGAAATATATTAAAATTATGTGCAAAGTTAGATATTTTTATTTTATTTTATTTCAGACTTTTATATTAGACTGTCTTCAGAATTTTATATCATTGGATAAAGTACATCCTATCGTTTAACACTTTAGCACATACTTTAGATAATATCTTTAGGTGTATCAAATATTTTTTGTAAGAGCGTTATTTAATATTAAATACCTAATCCATTTGAACTAGCAAAACAGTTTTTCCCGCTTCTACTCAGATAACTCGCCTTAAATTCTGAGCAAGCCCTATTTATTAATAAAAAATATTGACAATTCTCAACTCGCACTTACGTCATATTTATTAACAAAAACAGCATTAATAATGGAATCATTAACTAACAATAGTTTCTACATCTTACCTTAAATCTAAATGCAGCTAACTTAAACACAAATTCCAACATGAAAACTGTTGTAAGGATCATGTTCAAAGCGTCGAGAATCTGAAAAACGTAATAAAGATTATCAACTGGAGATTAACGGAATAAATCACAATCTTAATTGAATCAATCACAAAATGATTAAATTGTTGCAGCAACAATTTGTAAGTAATGAATTTAATCATATTGTGATTGAATCAATCAAGAAGTGCGATTGATTCCGGTTAGCTACACTTTATAAGAATCAGATAATTTTCAGTGTACATTCTTTCTAAAATGAACTAGAGCAACGTATGTGATGTAATCTAATATTTCTAAAAAGAATTAAGTGTAAAATTGTAGAAAAAAAAATTGGTTACAACACTTTTATAGTGAGATAGCCTCAATTGTGAGTTGACATAAAAATAAAGTTGTCTGAGTACGTATAATAAATCCTTACGATTTTGTACCACTTAGGGGCGTCATTAAACTTCATCATGAGCGCGATAGTATTGACCACTATGAAGAAGAATATGACGTATTCGAATTGCTGTGACGTCACGAACCACCATGTCTTATACTGGATGCGGTGTTTCGGGATGTACCTGGACACAAAAAGATATTCGCTTGTAAAAATTGGCGGGTTATTATTGGACTCGTTGCTACACTGATAAAATGGACTTTAATCAAGTGAGCCCGTCAAGATACTTGATTAAATCAATCACAACGTGATTAAATTCTGTATTTAATATTGTTGCTGCAACCATTGTGCTCGTTAAACTCAGATAGATACAACGCACTCCTCATGGAAGAATGGCTTAGCTGGAGTTACGTCAACAACGTTTATAGCTCTATTAGATACAGAAAAATATAACCCACAATATCTTCAATTTTTGTAAGTCTATTGACTAGTATTGTAGATAGAGTTACAAGAATAGGAGAGGATGTGTGTTATTCAGTTTAATGGAGCAATAAACATGTTTAACGTAACTCCCCTTATGCTATTCTTCCATGATGGGTGCGAGAAGTTACTTGATTTATTTTTTTCAGTATGCGTCATTTGTACATCACGTTGTTTATTAAGAAATTGGTTATTTTATAATATCACGACATCTCGTTATCCGTCACATTTATTAATCTTGAAAACAGAATAAGTTTACTCGTTTAAGCGTTTTTTTTTTCTTCCAAGTGATGGGACCAACAAGTCGTGCACGTGGTAAGCGACACTATCCATAACAGTTAAAGTTATTTTTATTTATAATTAAAAAGATTTTTTACAAAAAAGAAAACTTATAAATTAAAACTTAGCGGTACAACAAAAACCTGAATAGATTTATCCGTACACCGCGATTCAATGACGTGAGCTCGTAACAAAACTGGCTAACCCATTTGCCTACGTACGCTTACCCACTACCATAAAAACGACCACTACTCGAGTACACGAGTCACTCACGTATACAGGACGTTCAGAGTTTATTTAATAAATATGATTTTGAAGTGCCACCTAGAGTCTTAAATTGCAAAAATCTGTACTGCCACTGCGCCCATCCTCCTGATACATAAGTTGCCAAGTCCCACGAGCACATTCTTTCATCAGCACTCGAAATCATACTCAAGTCCCTGCCATTAGGGTCGTATTTCCAGTGCTCGTGTTGCCAGTGCAATCCTGACTTGAGCATTGAATAGAGTTCTAGAATATGACTTTTACCCTTCAAAACTGGAACGCAGCAATCTTGCTCAATGTTAATAAATAAATTTCGCTAAAGTGTCGATTACGTTAGTTATGACATGGAACAATAGCTGAAGAGGATTGGTAATGGCGATACAAGAAAGCGTACTCGGGTATTTAGCACCCATCAGATCTCGCGACGCTATTTTTGTAACTAATTTGTTTTGCCTTGAAGCCAATCTAATTTCCAGTAAAAAAAAATAGTAATAATAGTAATAATGCACATACTCAACATAGCCCCGCTAGGGAAACCCTGTGTCACGGGTGCCATGGACACAAACATAGACAACCACAAATTACACCCAAACTCACGAGAGAAATAAATGTAGGCCATACAAATATTTCTCTCGGCCCGGGATTCGAACCTGGGACCTCTGCGGGGCAGTCCGGCATGGTAACCGTTGGGCCACGGAGGCAGTTAAACAAAGGATAGAACGCGCTTATTGCATTTCTTTGGGTACTGCCGGGTATTTTTTTTTTTGTTTAGGATTAGCCTCATCTACCATCTAAGCTAAGTTTAGTTCATTTCTCTCAATATTACAAATTTCATACAAATACGTGAATACAAATAACTGAGCGTGACAGACTGTGTGATAGACTGAGTGGTGCAGTCTTTGCGTTGCGTAAACTGAAATTGCTCATTTCTGATTCTGCATTAAGACAGGTCTATTTATCATATTTCCACTCGCTGATGTCGTACGGTTCACTCATATGGGGTAGCTCCACGGATGCCAATAGATCATGCTAATGCAAAAACGTGCCATACGCGTATTGGTTGGGGTAAAACACAGACATTCCTGCAGAAATCTCTTTGTAGCGCAACGCATAATGACGCACTACTCACTCTACTTATACGAAATTATAATGTACGTAGAAATAATCTGTCTCCATTTGGTACTGTAAACGTTTCTGGCATCCCACTTCGCCGTACCGGTCATTTGAGAACAGTCCCTCGACGCATGGCACTTGCAGAGAAAAACCCGCGTGTCATCGGACCTACTTACTATGAGCGTTTACCCGGTACTCTCAGACTTGAACCGTCTCACGAAACATTTAGGCGCCGGCTGAAAGACTTTTTCTTGAAAAATCCTATATACTGTAAAAGAATTTATGGACTTTAAATTGTAACGAATTCAGTATTTTCTATTTTTATATATTTATTCTAATTTTTACCGCATTAACATGCTCTTGTATAATTTTCAACTTATGACGATCCTTGATGGAGAATGATATTTAATATGTTATTTAATGACAACAAGATTATATAATGAATTGTTAATTTTCTAATTATTGTGTGCTTCTCTTATAATTATCCTTTTTGTCTGACGATCTCAATATAATTTCTTATACTTTGACATGTAGTGCAATTTATACTGTAATGTTATATTTGAGAAAGAAATGAATCTGAATCTGTCAGTATATATAAAAAAATTCAGGTATAATTATATAATAGTAAATTATAAGTACACAATAGTGCACATAAACAAATCAACATAATTAATGAAACGAAATAAATAACTGAATTAAACTAACAATGTCAAGCGTATACAGGAAAATGTCAATATGGATTTTAATAACTGATTAATGTATATTCGATTATAATAAATACGGTGAATGTCAAAATTCATTAATAAATATAATACTCTGTTATTTAGTGAAGAGATTTTCCCAATAAAAGGTTCTTCAGTCTGCACCTGAACGTTTCGTCACAACATTAATTTTTTAGTTCAGCTGATAGGTACTCGTAGTAGATCGGTCCTATAACCCGCGGGTTTTACTCGTGTAGTGCAATGGGGCGCGGTACTGATCGGAGTTGGCCCGCGCGACAGAGGAACGTAAGAAGGAACTATATAATACAGCCATTTACATAATATGAACTGCATTCAGGCCAACGATTTGCGCCATCTAGACATAAGATGGATTTTGACGTTTTTCAGAGTTACCCAAAATATAAATAAACTAATAAATGTCATTGTCAAAATGTGCGTGCAGGTGTGCTAAACTTTCTATTCTTAACGGAATTTGAAAAGGAGAAGGTTCTCGTTTTCTACAATTTAAATTATCTGTTACAAAATATTAACAATGTAAAGAAACTTTATAAACAACACAATAATTTAGCAAACGCGCCTTGAATAAACAATTGAATTCGATAACGGAGTACTAATGATATATTGGTATTTTACAGGATACATCACGGAGACTGTGCGATGGAATTGCACGATTTAATTCCGCTCTCCCCTTTTCATCACCGGGGGACTAGGCGTAGGCTTGGGTTCCACCCTTATGTTGTGGATATTCAAAAGATTCGCACGAAGCGTTACGCTTCCACATTCATATGGCGAACGGCTATAGAGTGGAATTCCCTGCCTGCAGACTTGTTCCCTGAACGTTATAACTTGGGTCTTTTCAAGGCGAGAGTGAGTAGGCATTATTTAGGTGTGCATTGTCCATCGTCGACCGCATCGTCACTTTCCATCAGGTGAGATGGAGGTCAAATGCGCAATTATATTTTATAAAAAAAAACCTATGACATGACAAAATGGCGGCACAAAAAATGATTTTGCTACCGATTGTGTTACCGATCTTAAAAATAGTGTTTTTTTTGTAATTTTTGTATTGAACAAACATTTTCCATTTCAGACATCTAATTATTATTCATACTATATAGTATGGAGATTTGCAGTCTCTAAAGGGCAGAATTGTAACTGAAAAAGTACGCAAGACACGCGTGCAGATATCGTATGAAAATTAGTACCTACTTACCTGTTGGCGCCACTGCAGGTATGCTTATAGAAATAAGCATCTAATTTGAAAGCACCCTGAAAGTACTGGTATGTGTTTTCCATCACATTTTCCATAATTAACACTATGTTTACTGTATATGGAGGCGTGATGAATAGACAATAAAAATATTAAATTTACCTCCTGACCGGTTTCGCCTTCAAAGCAAATTCAATACAATTCCTCTGATTCTTATCCAGTTCACAGTCTTTGTATTCTTGCTCTCCCTCCTTCTGGAATGTCACTATGACGAAACCTACGAAGATGTTCACCTGGAAGTAATACAAACTTGTTAACAAGATAAGTACGCAGAGGCGGTAGCGGGAACGTTCCGGGCGCGGGAATTTTTGTAATGTTCGAGTACTTTTGCACCCTGTCACATTGAAACCGGCACAAAAGAGAGGTGGGTGCCCGCACTCACCTCTCTTTCGTCTGTCTCGATTACTATCCGAGCCGATGTCGCCAAAACTCACACATTCTTATTTGATATACTACAAAAACTTGATATTAAATGGTCGTAGTTCAAATTTAAAAAGACAATGATTTATGGATTGTTTAATGTAATTTAAAATTTACCCTGTTACGATATGCCATCGTTGAAAGTTCAATACCTATTATTGCAAGTTACGACGTTTTTATACTATATTGAAATTTCAATCAATGTGCTGCCATCTAGCGGTTAATTGTTGAACGACGACGAATTGGAGATATTAATTAGTTCTCCAAAAAAGAAGTGTCGATATTGCATGGGTTATAAGCTTTACTATCGTTTCTTGTAACATAAATTATTTCGATAAACAAAAAATTTAAAATTTATTAAAATAAAACTTTCCGATTATATGAAATACCATCACGGGTACTATTTTTGGTGCGGCAATCATTTTTGCACTCGAAAACAGCACAATAAGGCATTTTTCTAGGATTTTAAAGAATTTCCGCGAATGAATGACACAATCATACCTTACATAATCTCAGTACAGATTACTAAAAAAACCGACCTCAAAAGTACGTGGAATTACGTCTATTGGCTAAGTTTTATTGAAATATCCCCCAGTTCGCCACTATACAGGACTTGACACTGAAGATAATAAAAATCGGTTCTCACTACTCAAAGTATATTGAGAGAAAAACGCCTTGAATTGGAGAAATAGCAAAATCAACCATTAAAATAATTGCTCCTAGATTAAAGTTAGGCGCTATTTATGAAAATGAATCTTCATGCGTGAACAGCCACCCTTAGAGGTGGATGGTTTTCTTCAAAATGAAATGGGACCACTATGGAAGTACCCCCTTTCCAACAAAAAAAGAATCATGAAAATCGGTTCACAAATACCGGAGTTATCGCGTAACATACATACAAAGAAAAAAAAGATCGTACAGTCGAATTGAGAACCTCCTCCTTTTTTGTCGGTTAAAAGTCGGTTAAAAACGAAATTAACGGACTGAGCTCAGATAGATCTTTCCAGACGTGCAGTTGGCACGCGTCAGACGCTTATTAACCACTTCTACTATATTTATTGTTCTGTGATGCTTACCCACTTCTGTAAAATATTACGCTCTGCCCAAAACCTAGCAAATCTATGACGCAACTCACAAACACCTAGAATAGTACGTTACTTTCATCTAATCCATTTTCAAATTGAATTCATCTCTTTTCATTCTGTATTTAATACAATCTTACCATGAAGAACGCGATGACAATAATGTAACTGATGTAAAAGAAGGCCACCAGCGGCCTTGAGTTTTCAACCGGGCCATGGTCCTCCTTGTTCGAATCCATTGATGTCGTTAATAAGCTGAAATCACATTAAAATAAATTATTATTTTAATACGATGGGACGAACAAGCTGTGCGCCTGATGGTAAGTCCTGTCCAGCTGCAGTGCCGCTAAAAGCTTAAGAGGGAGCAGAGGAAAAATTCCTAATCTTCGATTTGATTTTAGAGGTTTATATCCACTTTAAAGTTAAAAATAAAATATTGTATGAGTAACTACACGATATATTCAAGCATAGACACTAATCAGAAACATAAAACAAGAAAGTTTCCTAGATAGATAAAAATCACGAAATTACCTCTAATTTTCACATTTTTTCGATTCATCCTCGAAATGCTACAGGTTATTAGGACAAAAATTAGATAATTAATTATATTTATGCATGATCGAGAACTGTCACTACGGTTTTTTTTTAATCCCTTTAGTTTTAGAGTTATTCCGCTAAAACGAATTTGGTACTTTTAATGCGCAAAATTCAACAACTCCTGTCGCATGTCACGCGAACTTCAGGCATATATTTGTTCCACAAATTTGGGCGGAGCCAACGTCAAAACTTTTTTGGCATGCTCCCTCTTAAATCATATAGCTCTGAAGGGCACTGCCACTACACCCTGTCTCCCTGCCTTCAAAACCAGAACGGAATGCTGACAATATAAAGAAATAGCTAAGGTGGCAGCACTTCCCAAGACGAACTCTATCACAAGAAGCTCTACTGTTAACTAACGTATTAACGTAACGTAACGTAAATAACGTACGGCGAGTAAGTGACGCTGATTGGTAAACCCTTTCACCGCGATGGCAAACCTTTTCCACACTTCACAATAGCGGCTACAACTAGTGACGCAAGTAGAAGCAATAACTTTTGGGCGACAATAATACATACAGCACAGTGATATATATAACAATAATAGTTACTACGTAACAGATACGTCGCTGTCATACAAAATCGAAATTATCTACGCTATAATAGCCTACTATATGACTAATGACACCAAGCACTCACTACGAGGAAAAAGGAACCTAAGCACGCGCACAGGGAGGTGAAAATAACGTTGCCCGCCGTGTGCAGCCGTGCGGACACGAGTGATTATAAATGAAAGAATTATAAGAGGGCTTGTGCCGACGTCGGTACACTCAGCAGTAGACAGAGCCCTGCCTATAGTGTACGATAAGAAGACAACAAGAGGTTTTTGCGTTAAAAAGCCATGTATATAATAGAACAACTTAACAGAGTGCATCACCGTGATTGATTGATTAGTGAATGATTCACATTTATTTGATTTGTTGTGGTTAGTCACTTTGTTTTTATAAAAACGACTAATTTATTCGACAATACAAACAAATACATAACAGAAAAATGTTAATAGTAAAAAACTCGCAAAGTTGGATATATTTATGAAAATAAAACAACTTGTACCACTTAATGCAAAAAAATGCTCTTCATCCACCATAATTCGCCTTTGTTGAAATTTCAACACACTAAATTTATATATATTATCTCTAACTTCATAGTTCTTTCAGTTACAGTAATAAACAGATTGTCAACGATCCTTTAGTTGCTGTATATTCTATTACTATCATCTTTAATCAATTTATTTGGCGTACTGATTATGAATTTTTCTCAGTTTTGTAAATCCGGTATCCGGCCGGATATTGTTGTTCTATCCGGTATCCTGCCGGATAGTAAAAATAGGCCAGATACTGGATAACTAACCGGATATCCGTTTCATCTCTAGAACAAGTACGTCCATGGCCGAATGGCTACCGTGCTGGACTGCCACGCAGAGGTCTCGGGTTCGATTCCCTGGCCGAGAACAATATTTATATACATTCGTTTCTCTGGTGAGTTTGGGTGATATTTGTCATTGTCTATGTATGTGTCCACAGCACCTGATTTTCAGTAGTGCGGAGCTATTTATAAACAATAATAATAATAAAGATCTTACTTAGGCCATCCTTCAAAAGTAGAAACAGTAAAAAGGGTCAACATGCCGTTGGGTACATCGTCGAAATTGAACTTGTTCTTCAACCATTCCCTCGAATTGATTACGGGCTTTCCGTTCTCGTAAATTAAATATTTACCACTGAAAATAAACAAGCATAAGTTATCACTAAAAAAAAAAGTTATCAACCCACATGTAACCACTGAATATATACAAGCTTAAATTATCAGTAGGTTAGTCAGTAGATAAAACGAGGCTTATAATTGTTATTTAATAACAATGTTATCATTATCAAAAATGACATTGTAGAATGTAAGTTTATATTAAACATTTGTAATAATAAGTAAATTGTTATATGAATAAAGTTTATATTAAATACCATTATATCAAGTGAACGTCAGATTGAAAAATATGATATGATATGATATGGGAAGGGGTGTATACCCTAATGATTACCTACAGTCAATTTAAATTTGGAAATAAATTTTATTAAGTAACAACTTACTGACACTCAGCTTCAGTCATTTTGGTAGTATCAGAGCATCTAAAGAATTTTCCCTGAAATCAAAAACTCTGTAAAGATTTATTCATAATTTACTCTACGTATTACCAGTAGAACTATAGGGTATTTTCTGATCACGACCTTAACCATATGCGTCAGATTATTATATCACTGATCCACCGGATGTGACACGATACGGCTACGTGTAATCAGATTATGCAATATAATAACTGCAATCAGACTAGTTGCGAAGGGTCAATATATTATATCGGCTTGCGCAGTAAGTTTTTTTGCCTCCATTTAGCGAAATGGTATGGCAAGGAATTCTTCGGCATCTATTCAGCGGTATCCAGGCATGCCGAAGTGTACCTTCACGACATCGTGCTCGCGCCTTGCCTCTACGCACATCAGTCGTAATTTTAAACCATGAAAGCCTGCTGAACCATCTCGAAGACTGCCGGCGGCTGCCGGTTGGTAACCTAAGCTTGCTGCAGCTTGTTTTCGTAACTACGGATTGTCATTGTGAAATTGTCACCACTGGCTGTCCCTATCTACTGACCCGAGAGATAGGTTTTTCGGAAAGCCCTCCGCTAGGTGGACCCGGACTTGGGTATGGACTCGCTGGAGTTTGTGGTTAGCTGCAGAGACGAACAGGTTTGTCTGCTCCGGTTGAGTGTGGCCGAGGCATCTGTCTCGTGAGCAGCTAGCGCGTCTTAGTAGCGGTCTAGTTGAGGGTCTGAGGCGAGGAGACGCGCGGGCACGTGAGTTGCTCTTTAAGTTGGAAACTATGTCCGGATATTGTCGCAGGACTGCGACTGGCATCTCCGGCGCTAGCCCGGAGAGCTAGTAGAGGATAAGCTAGACATTAGGTTGTTGGGAACTGGAGAGACGTCGTTTTTTCGGCGTCGAGAAGGGAGCGTATCTTGTAGCAGGCCAGGGCAGCTCACCAAGGCACTAGCCTCTCGAAGAACCGGATGAAGTCAGAGGTCTATGACAACCCTGTAGCATGGCTTATCTGGGGTCAAAACCTGAACTTACAAGGTTCCAGTGCGCGCACAGGTTATAGTGCCCGTCTCGTATACCCTCAGACATCAGAGACATGATTTTTTTAAATAAGATCTATATATTTATCATTAAACTCGAATTTTATTTTATTCCCTTTCGATGGCAGCAACAAACATATATTAATTGGAGTTTTTATTCCATTTATTTTTTACCACTGGCAACTACTGCGATATCTTAAATTCCATTTGTTGCCAGTGACAACAACAGATCTATTTATTCCAAGTGTCACCAGTGAAAACCACCACTGGCAACAACTGAGATTTTTTCAGATGAGATTCCGTTTCTCACCACCTGTTGATACATGGGATTATTTTCTCATTTGTCACCAGTGAAAAGAAAGCCAGTGGTGACAACTGAAAATAGCCAAAATTTCAAGTATAATGTCATGAGTTTGAAGTATATTACTATTCGTCACCTTAAAATCCCCTGCCATCCCATTAGTGGGCGTCGTGCCTTCGTTATACGTAAATGTCTTGAATTATTGCAATGGCTGTGTATCTTCTTCAAATATTTACCCTTCACCACTTATAGGTAACATAATTATTAATATAAATTAGAAATTTCGACATTAACACCTGATCTCGCTTCACGCTTATTCAAATTATACAAAGCACATAAGTGTAAATCAATGATAGAATTATAATATTTAAGAAAATAGTTAAATTTAGTAGTTTTAAGTATAAGATAGTTTTTAATAGCTAAGTTAAAATGCAATCAGCATCAATAGATACACTGTACGTAGATATCGTCAGTGGAGAAGTAAAAATGCCTAAAGCGTCATACAGGGCACCTAACATGCAAGTTGAAGGGCATAGGCTAATACTCTTTCTTTTTACAAAATCATATCGAGAATATTAACAGCCTCTCTGGGAAACTTAAGGGCTAGAAACTTTGTTGCCCAATGTATTAGCATAACTATATAAAAAGGGGAATGCTCCAGCCAGCATCTTTGACACCAGTCACAAGGGCTCCATTTTAATAATCATTTATATTATCCCTAGCTTTAGGTTTTAAGCTATTATTGTTTTTTTTAAACCTTGCTCGTCTAACACAAAAATATATACAACCTGAAATGAGCTAATTACAAAGTCTCAAAACAATTTTTAAGCATGCTTGAAAATTGCTTTGGTGCTTCACGTAGCACCAAAAGAAAGTGGTACAATGTAGAATTACTAAACAGAAACAAGTTCCGATCGCTACGAAACCTAGATAAAGACTAATATTCGCTCAATGCTTTAGATTTTTACCTTTCCACTGATATATGTTGTAAATATGTATATGTAACAAGTTATTGTAAATATTTATACATAGTTCGAGAAAATGTCAAAATAGTTAATGACTGATTAATTAATCACAATATAGTTTCGTTTTTACTAACAATGACAATGACAAAGTACCTTAAACAACTGTATACCAACAACAGCGAACATAAACTGCAACATGTGGTTAATAATTAAAATGTTCCCAATGGATTTTATCGAAGCAAACACGCACTTGACCACGTACTATATATAAAAAGCGTTGTAATGTTATTGCGACATCAAACAAAAAATTTACCAAAATCCGTTTCAAAATGTCCCCAGAGCAAAATTCGTGACGTGAAAAAAAAGCAGAAATGATAAAAATCAGTTACATAAATAAACAAAAGAAACCTACACACGTTAGTGCCTGATGTTGAAAATAATGTAAAACAAAAAATCATCAATAGTGCAATCAGAGTCCGGATCCGACTTATAGTTAATATTTTTAATTTGCCAATAACTCTTTCAAAAATATAACCAACTTAGCATAAATACTTTCAAAAAGTAACACACTGTTAAGCTTAACGCAGACATTAGATGTCACATAATTTTGCTTTTAAGAAAAATATTTAAAACAACATAACTGCCAGTTACAGTGGTAGCGCGCTGAATTTACAGTAGAACAACAGGGAAGAATCCAGTCTGCGTTACACCATTAAAACCAAGTACCTCACTCCTAATAACGAGTGGAAATGTCAAGGTAGGGTATTGCTGTGCAAACGAAAAAACACTGAAGCTCGAATCTGAGTCCAAAAAATCACAATCCTCCAATCACACAACACCTTTGGGCTAACAAAACCAAATAAAGAAATCAGAAAAAATGCATGCATCAACACGAGTTTATTGTTAGCGAATTTTTGGACCCATGTAAGCAAAAAATCCAGGTTAGTGTACCACAGGCCTACTGCTTAACTGCCCTAGTTCCTGAAGTAGCTGCGGTATACGAGAGGGGTGATAATTTACTTAACACTTATGTCATAATTACACGGGATAATTTCAATAAGATTTTTCTGACAATATTCAATAACAAGTTCATTGTAAAAAGTGTCCACCAATTAGTCAATTGTTGTTATGTGAAACGTTAACAAAAAAAAACTACTTCATTGATAATTGAAATTAATAGATAAGCCACTTGGCGCTTTTTTAACCGACATCAAAAAAGGACGAAGTTATCAATTAGACTGTATTTTTTATATATATGTTACGCGATAACTCAGTAACATATAGTTAATATTATGACATTTGTGAACCGATTTTGATTGTTTTTTTGTTGGAAATAGGGTACCTCAGTATGGGTCCCATTTAAATTTGAAGAAAATATTCCACCTCTAAGGGTGGCAAAATAGGGGACGAATCCGGTTCGCGCACTTTCCGGTAACCGATTCCAACAAAACTTGGCAAATAGATGTAATTCCAAGAACTTTTGAGGTCGGTTTTTTTATTACTCTGTATAGAGATTATTCAATCAACTTGTTATTGAATATCGTTGGAAAAATCTTGGTGAAATTATTCCGTGTGCAGCGTGACATAACTGTTACGTAAACTGTCACCCCTCCCGCACCGCGCAGCTACCTTAGGAGCCGACTCAGATAAGCGGTAGGCCTGTAAACAGAAAATTTTGAAAAAAAAAAGTCACGAATAAAGCCGCACACACAAAAACGGAAACGACATCAGTTCCGAAAATTTTGAAAAGACGCAATACTTACTTTAAAAAAATCTAAATTTAAAGAGTTTTGGGACCCAAAGGTGTCTGTGGTGTACGGTTATTTTTAATCCTACCTTGAACATTTGCACCCCCATGACTGCAAACATGAACTGTAGAAGATTTGTCACCAACAAAATGTTGCCAATTGTCTTTATGGCGACGATCACGCATTGAACTACGTGCTAAAATTATAAAAAAATACTCTATAGTGATTTTTTTTCATACACATTTTTTTTAAATTTTCAAGTGTAAGATACTGACCTTGAGGCCTTTGGCTCTGTTGATGGCTCTTAGCGGCCTCAGCACTCTGAACACTCTTAAAATCTTAATGAATCCAATGTTTTGTGTTGGCCTGTACAGAACAAGATGATTTTTGAGATCTTTGGAAGAAAACTTAGACTGAAACTACAATACTGCGGACCGAAATGGAAGTAAATTTTTGTTTACGAACTAGATACGACACGGCAGCTCTACGTTACACAATTGATATAAACTTTACCATGTTATGGTTATTATATTTTTTATATTTCAGGCCACTTCATCATCAACTCATTTATACATCCCAATGCTGCGCATGGGTCATAGTCCACTGCGGCGCTGATTGGGTCAGCCGTGCGGGTTGGAAAACGTGTGAGGTCACGTTTTCCGAGGGTTGTAAACCTTTGATATGCAGGTTTCATCGCAATGTTTTCCTTCACCGTAAAACTCCACGGTGCAAGCCCGGATTTGAACCCATGGACTCTGCTTGAAAGGCGGTAGGTCAAACCATGAGTCTACCACGTCTCTTTTCACTCGAAAATTTCAAATAAAAGCCCGTGTGCCGTTGACTATACATAGAATTAAACAATAACTCACCCTAAAGACACTAGCGAAACTATGACCACCAACATATCCAGAAGGTTGAACGCCGACCGGCAGAAAGCATCCTTGTGCAGAACCAAGCCGTAAGTGATCAGTTTCAACAGCAATTCCAAAGTAAATACAGCTGTGAAGAAGTAGTCTATAGTACGTAGTATCTGAAAACAGAAATCACATACACATCGATAAACTCGAATCTAAACTTCATAGTTTAGCGCAAAGTTGCCTATCTGTCGAATTTCTACAGAATATATTTCGGTGAGTGTGCCCCTGAAATCCACTCAACGAGCTACGGAGCGAGCAATGCTCGGCATTTCTTTACGTGATCAAGTCAGAAATGAGGAGATCTGTACAAGAACGAAAGTCAGTCACCCACACAGTTCAAAGGATTAGCAAGTTGAAGTAGCAATGGGCAAGGCACACAGCTCGTAGAACTGACGGCTACTGGGACAGAAAGGTTCTTGAATGGAGACCACGAACCGGAAGGCGTTCAGTGGGACGGCCTCCTACTAGCTGGACCTGTCAAGGGCGGCGGGTAACCGATAAACGCACGTCACATCCGACCGGTTAGTCTGGCAATCTTTGGGGAAAGCGTACGTTCAGATATGAACGTCTTCCGGCAGATATGATGATGATAATGTCCGCCCGCTTTTACGATCGAACATTCAGACGTACGGCGGGATAACATCCTTACTTGGTCGATGTTCCCTTCAGAATGGAATTCCCTGCCTGTGAATGTGTTTCTGAGCTCATACAACCCGAGTATCTTTAAGATGCGACTGAATGGACTTCTTCTGGGCAAGCTCGTTCCATCGTAGATTATATCTTTGACAGAGCTAGGTAGTGGTCAAGTTTTATTTTAATTTAAAAAAAAATGCCATCAACGGGTTGCTTTTATTATTGTACCAAGCGATAGAATTAAGAAATCGTGGTGGTAAGCAAGATGCCTGCACAATATAACAATTGCAGTGCTTCTCAAAGCTAAGTGCATTCCCTTACTGCTGTAACCTAGGCATCGCTCGTAATAAGTATATATATAACATAAATTCGCACATACATAATTTGACTTGCCGTCATAGTGACGTTATATTTTGTTTTGACATTAATAAGTTCGTAAGGAACTTCAAACTTTTTGAGGATAATTTACTTTTACCCCTAAGGTATCTAAGACATATAGCTAGTTTGCTATCTTTTAATATTAAGGACGCTGTTATAGAAGATATAACACAGTCCCACGACAATGCTCCTACTTTAAGTAGCAACAGTATACATTTTACTAACCATAATTTAAACTAAAAAACACGACAACAGAAAAGTCTAATCGTTTCCATGTAGTACATCAAAATATTCAAGGCTTTTCTGGCAAAATATTAGAAATAAGTCTTTTTTTGCACGATATTTCCGTTGACGTGTTTTGTGTTACAGAACACTGGCTGAAAGATTACGAAGCCATTAACAATATAGAAAATTATGTAATAGTCAGTTCGTTCATAAGAAAGAGCTTAAGTAGAGGCGGATCCATGATTATTATTAAGCGTAACTTAAAATTTAAAGAGCGTAAGGATATCACAAATCTTTCTACTGAACGAACTATTGAGATTTCATGTGTGGAATTGGATCAGTTTGTCGTCTTATGTGTATACAGGCCCCCCTCTGCTAATTTTAACGAGTTTGAATTAATTATGGAAGACAGTTTAAAGCGGATTTTTCCAACCAAAAAAAACGTAGTAATATGTGGAGATTTCAATGTAAACCTGTTGGAAAACTGTTCTACTTCTGCAAGACTCATTAATTTATTTCAAAGTTTTAACTTGATTAATCTTTTTTTAGAACCAACTCGCATTACTGCCTCCTCTTCTACTTGTATTGATAACATCTTTTGTAACACAGACGCAGTGTCTAAATCAATAATAAATTGCTTAAGATCCGACCATAGTGGCCAATTGGCTTCTTTTAATTGTAAAATGAGCAAGAACGTAGACCAATTTCTCTGCAGACCGATTACCACAGAACGAATAATTAGATTTCAAAATAATATCGGCAACAGTTTAAATTCCCTATCCCATATACCGGAGGATCCAAATACTTTATATAACACGATATTTGGTTTAATTAAAAATGAATTTGACAATATATTTAAATCGAAAACATTAACTTTCCATAGAGAGACTAAATTCAACGACTGGGCAACAGTAGGTATTCATAAGAGTAGGTCTCGTTTGTATGAGCTATATGCTATGAAAACTTATAATACTAATTCCAATTTCATAGAATATGTTAGAATTTATTCGAAAATATTTAAAAAAGTTTGTGTAGCTGCTAAGGTTAAGTTTCACAGCGACAAAATTAGACAATCGATAAATAAATCTAAAACTACTTGGAGCATAATAAATAAAGAGTCAGGCAGGGTTAAACTACACGATAGAGATATAGTTTTAGAATTAGACAGCAAACTTATAAAATCTAAAGATAAAGTAGCCCAAGCTTTTGAATCGTTCTTTTCGGAAATTGCTGTGAACACTACAAAATCATTAAATTCCTCCCCTTCACTTGCTATTGATCTCCTAAAGGAAAATGTTAACGTTTGTGGCAGTTTATTTAATTTTCGTCATGTTAATCCACAAGACATCATAAAAGCTTTTAAGTCAATACATGTTAAAAAAACTGAAGATCTCTGGGGCATATCAACTAAAGTTATAGACTCAGTTATTAATCTCATTTCCCCACAGTTAGCTGTAGCTTTCAATAGGTGCGTTGACGAAGGTGTTTTTCCCGATTTAATGAAATACAGCAAGGTTATTCCCTTATTCAAAAGCGGTAGGAAAGTTGATCCTAGCAATTATAGGCCCATTTCAATTTTACCAGCTTTAAGTAAAATATTCGAAAAGGTTATGCTAACTCAATTACTGTCCTATTTCGGTAGGAATCATATTTTTCATAGTGAACAATACGGGTTTACTAGTGGTAGATCGACTAGCGATGCGGGGGTAGCGTTACTAAAACACATCTTTGATGCTTGGGAAAGGTCCCAGAACGCTATTGGTGTTTTCTGTGACCTCTCAAAGGCATTTGATTGCGTTGATCATAATACTCTTATTAGTAAGCTGGAACATTACGGTGTAAATGGCAAGGCGTCGAAACTTGTCTCGTCATATCTCAACGGTAGAATTCAGAAAGTAGGCATAAATGGAGCGACTTCTTTGGGTTCTCCAGTAAAAATGGGTGTTCCGCAGGGCTCAATACTTGGACCTTTCTTATTTCTGATTTATATTAATGATCTGCCATTCTTTGTTAAGGACCATTGCGAAATAGTGTTGTTTGCTGATGACACATCCTTGATTTTTAAAACAGACAGACATGACATTAACTATGACCGTATTAATGATACCCTCTCTAAAGTAGTTTATTGGTTTAATGCTAACAATTTATTGCTTAATGCCAAGAAGACAAAATGTGTTAAATTTGAATTACCTAACGTAAAATCGACTAGTCCAAGCATAGAAATAAACGGAGAAAAGTTAGACCTTGTTAATAAAGCAGTCTTCTTGGGAGTGACCTTAGATAGTAAACTTCAGTGGTTTCCACATATATCGTCCCTGGCCAGCAGATTAAGCTCCGCTGCATACGCAGTCCGCAGAATACGTGAGCTTACCGATGTTAGTACTGCTAGACTAGTTTACTTTAGTTACTTCCATAGTATAATGTCCTACGGGATTCTCATGTGGGGTAAAGCGGCAGATATTCAAACCATATTTGTATTGCAAAAACGAGCGATTCGTTCTGTGTACCGTCTAGGCTCTCGGGTATCTCTCAGAGAAAAGTTTAAGGAGACTGGTATCATGACTGTGGCATCACAGTACATTTACTCAAATATTTTATATGCCCGTAAAAATATACATAATTTCAATAAGAAAGAAGATATCCATAATATTAACCTTAGAGCTAAGTCCAAACTCATGGTACCACGATTTCGTTTAACCAAGGTAAACAACTCTTTTATGGGGAACTGTATACGTTTTTACAATAAGATTCCGGAGCATATATTAAGTTTATCATTTCCTAAGTTTAAAAAGTACATTAAAAATATTTTGATCGAAAAAGCATATTACAAAATTGAAGACTACGTGTTAGATAAAGATGTATGGAAAGACGACATGGCTCCAGAATCCACACAAATTTGATTCAAAATGTATTCCATAGCATTTAAGTTTATTTGAAAAGAGCAATCCCTAGAGTTTCTTGCTCGTTCTTCTCAGGGAGGTCAGCGTAGTGAACGAGCAGTACCTTAAATGTGACGTTTTCAAGTGTAAATTTATTTTACCTATGGAATAAATCATCTTTGACTTTGACTTGACTTTTGAATATCAAAGATCTGTAGGGCCCTGCTACTACGCCCCGTGACCCTGAGACATCAGTTGACAAACCTCATGTGCCTGTCTTCACCAGCACCCTTACCCTTCAAAAACGAAATGCAGTAATGTAACCATCACTGCTTGGCAGCAGAAATAGGAACTTATTCACAAAGAGCTCTACACCTGCTAAACTACTAATAAATAATAAACGGGTAATATAATTTTATAGTTTTTTAGTTTCATCCAGTTGCATCGATCTTTTTATAGACTCGTTGATTCTCGTTTCTGGTGTCTTTAAATATGATTGAGATAACGCAGATGAAAAAGAGTCTAAAATTAGATTTGCAACAATTATAGGAAACGAGTTAAAACGTGAAATACACAGAGAACGGATGCGGGAGCACGGCTCGACTTGCACATTTGAAAAGCTCTTAAATGTTATACTCTATCAAGAAGCATTTTATCGTCTATGGAAAAGTGAAAAATTCATGAAGTATCGGTTTTTCATTGTTTTGCAACTGCCTCCGTGGGGGAACGGTTACCATGCTAGTCTGCCACGCAAAGGTCGCGGGTTCGATTCCCGGGCCGAGATAAATATTTGTATGGCCTACATTTGCGTGAGTTTGGGTGTAATTTGTGGTTGTCTATCTGTATGTGCATAGCACTGCGATACAGAGTTTCCCTAGTGTAAGAGTTAAGTCATTTTCAAGTTTTTTGCACTTAAGACTATGATTCACCATGAGTGCAATACATACCCGAAGGTTGACTTTCGTAACATTTACTTTATGAACTATTGTTACTACACTATCACTGTCATTTATTTTTTCCATATGAGGCATCTTAAACGTTTCCTTTCCTATCTCAGTCACTACATAGTTACTACTGATATCACTAAATATGATATCAAAATAAAAATGCAACATTTCAAGGTCATAAAGAAACTTGATTTAATTCAGGTAGTCTTTCAACCTACCTCACCCTTTTGTTCAGAATCTGGACTTCCAACTGGATCCTCCATAGCCAGAGTAAGAGAAGAAACTAAAATGCACACCAGGATGAAATTCTTGAACCAAGAATTGTTTTGAATTTTGTAACAGAGGACTCTGAAACTAAAAGAGAATATTTTACTACATTAATACACATGAAATGTAGGTAGATGAATTTTAACCCATTAGTCAGTGATGAACATTGGTTCTTCCCAAGACCAGCGACATGTGGAGTATGTCCCTGATGAGGTCACAAACGCGTAAGCGAGACGGGCATCTTTCAGCTGGTGAAAATATTTCGGTACCCAATTTTTGTTACGTACATAACATGGTGGATCAAATTTCGTAATAAAACTTAATTCTTTTACCGCAAATTATGGCGTTTCATAATTTATAAAAGTCGTCTAATTATGCCGAAAATATTTTTTTAAGAATGTATTAGTTTTTGAATCTCAGAAACCTTAGTAGTTAGTTTCTAGACAGTGTCTAGAAAATATCCATGAGATCAATTATATAATAGTTCTTTTTTAGGAAAGAACTATTCCTTTAACCTGTTGAACTAATGGCAAAAATATGAAAAAAATATTATTCAGATTGAGATGACATTAGAGGAATATTTACCAATTGTTCTGAGAGAATATGAAGAAACTACTCCCTTCGGGTATGGGCTTTTCCTGTTGCTTTATCTCTATTTCTGACAATCGTCGAGGTCGTAATGTCACCGTCTTAGGCTTCATTAAATCTTCGTCTTGTTTCTTTATATCACCTGAAAATATAATTATTATTTATATTACTTGTATTACTGCTGTTTTTCGTGCCACTTAAAGTTATCATTCCCAAAACTTGAAAATATTTTATACGATCTGGGTCAACAGCCATAACCCAGAATGGAAGATTCCAACAAGCAGTCTAAAAGTTTGTTTTTAGCAAAAAAATTAAGCAAATTTATCGAGTTCTTAGGTTTTCGTGATTGTTACACATAGGAAATGAAACTATTATTCCGGATTTAAGAGGGAGCATGCCAAAAAGTATATGCCTGAAGTTCGCGTGACATGCGACAGGAGATGTTGAATTTTGCGCATTAAAAGTACCAAATTCGTTTTAGCGGAATAACTCTCAAACTAAAGCGATTTAAAAAAATCCGTAGTGACAGTCGTCGATCATGCATAAAATATAATTAATTATCTAATTTTTGTTCTAATAACCTGTAGCATTTCGAGGATAAATCGAAAAAATGTGAAAATTAGATGTCATTGCGTGATTTTTATCTATCTAGGAAACTATTGTTTTATGTTTCTGATTAATGTCTATGCTTGAATACATCGTGTAGTTACTCATACAATATTTTATTTTTAACTTTAAAGTGGATATACCCCTCTAAAATCAAATCGAAGATTAGGAATATTCCCTCTGCTCCCTTTCGTCTTACCTTTGGTGAATAATGAACTTAACAATGCTATGGCCATTTCAGTTAATCTAATCCTACAGTAAAGTCTTTAAAACATCAGCTAAGAGATTCTTCATTTGGTGTTAGTATTATAATAAAGAATCTCCATAGAAGATATCCGTGCCAAGCAACATTCCACTGGAAGTACGATAAATTATTGACAACGATAATGAACACCTAGCTTCCTTACCATTCTGTTGTTTCGTATCATTGGTAACCAATACATCATCCAAGTTATCTCTATCTTCGGGTTCTTGTTCATCCACTTCTTCAGACCCAGTTTCGTCGTATTCATGGTCGGACCTGAATAAATGAAAGGTTCCTTTTTTACCGACTTCAAAAAAGGAAGAGGTTCCCAATTAGATCGTTTTTTATGTGTGTTTGTTGCGCGATTACTTCGACATTTTGTAAAGCGATTTCAATGATTCTTGACCTCTGGGGGTAGCAAACTAGGGGGTGAATCCTGTTTATAGAATTTTACACACTTTCCGTTAACTTAAAATAAAAAAAAATATAATTATTTTTCTCTTCTAAGTATTTTTCTTAATCGTTTACAACTGTAGATTCGGTTGAAAAGTCGTATAAATCTACGAAGGAACCTATAAAGCAAAATCCACAACTGGTTATACCACTATCCGCTCACGCGATACATGTAGCCGTAGACGCATACCAAACCTAGAGGTGCCGGTGATGATTTTATACCGATTTATCGGATATCGAAGTTATAACAGGTAAAAGAACTAATATTAATTGCTATTTCGGTAACTACTCTAGCAAACCATAAAGTTTTTAATGCCTGGGTCTGTCATAAAAAAAAAATAAACTTCAAAAATACGTCACGACTATCGTGTGAGTGTTATTGTATGGGCTGGTGATTTCGGTGTTTATTTATTGAAAACATACCGTAAGTTGCGTTTTTTAAGTTTACCCTGAATATAAATGTTTATAAACTATACTTTAAGGAGTAATTTCATGGTAAACGTTAGAACCACTCAAACGGAATATTATCATATTTATCCAATTACACCAAAAATTTCATTAGTGCTTTATAAGTGTAGAATTTGCGGTGTATTACTGCATTTTATTTGAGATGTTTTTATTGTAGTACGGAAGGTATTTATTTAGCAGAATAATAATTTTTATTTATAAAAACTTGAATTTAAACTAAATGCTTTTCTAATTTGCGAAACCAAATAGCCGCCATTTTGCGGTAGGAGGAGTGCATCGCGTGAGCGGTTATACAAATTTATATTATTAAATCTTACCTTGGAACCCTTTTATATTTTTTGTAAGACCGGCTGCGTGGAAACAAGTGAAATGTTTGTAATTTATTTACGTAAATAACGATTTATGTTATTAATAATATATGTGTAAGAATACAGCTTAGTAAACTGACGCACTTTAACAATATATGGCTTGGTATTTAATGTTTAACTCACCCTTCAGTTGAATATCCTTCTTCTTCATTTAGGTATTCATCATCAGTCTCTCCTTTTTCTTCATCCAGCTGAGGATTACCAGCTTCAGCATTCTCTGCTGCCTAGAAAGCAAATTGCTTATTAACTTTTAATGCTCTTCTATCATCATAGTAGTAGCTTTGTTTATGAACATAGCTTTTGAAATAAAAAAAACCGCCGTATAAGGACTGATGCCAGTGGACGAAGCTAATGAGGTATGCCAGTTGCATAGCGAGAATTGGTTTATAATCTTTGCCTAACCTAGGGGAAAAGCATAAAAGTATTTCCAAAACCATGCGTTACCTGCTCTTTTAACATCTCCTGATCGATTTTACATGTAATAAAAATTAAAAGTCAGAACTTTCGTCAAAAAGTTAGATTCAATAGAAAGCAATACATATATTCCAAAAAATCAATAGATCCATCCGCAAGCTAATAATTCCTCGAAACCAATTTCCACTGTAAGCAGTTGGGAGTCCTGATTGCAGTATTAGATCCGAGCTTGCTACCATATTAGTGTAATGTTTTCGGATTCCCATATTATATCAAATTTGAAGTCGATCAGTTAAATGGAAGCAAGATAAATATTAATTTTACGACTGAGATTCCAATAACTGACAAAATTCTCTTGCGTTCGGGGTTAAGTTAATATTAGAATCTAATTTCATTAAACAAAAACGAATATAATTTATTATTACATTATGTATAATAAATTAGTAACTCGAGTTTTGTATTTTTTTACCGTCCATAATACAAACAATGTTTTTCATCACGTTTGCGAAATAAATACGTTTGTTTCATGCATGAATGAAAATGGCGGATTTTCCTTTTTTTATCAACAGATGGCCAGCTATTCTTCCACAACTCGAACTAAAGTGTTGTAAAAAACAAAGATGTATACAGTCAAAACTGATTGTAAAAAAAATACTAAAATTTTATACAGAAAATAATTAAAATCATTTATAAGAAATTCTTAATAATAAGTAGTATATGGCTGAATTGCAACAAAGTTTCTGTTTAGATAATATTTTATGAGAATATTTTAATTATGTACTTAGGCAACCTAAGGAGGTCTTGGTCTTGAACCTGACCTATGTAAAAAAACTCCTTGCCGACCATGGCTGTAATGAGAAGAAAAAAGGCCCCAGGGTTTTATTTGGGTATACTGTTTACGAGCAAGTGTGATGAAAAAATATATTACTGCTATGTTGTTGATTTTACCTACATCCAATGGCTTCTCACAACTTCCATCGTCATCGGACTATAATCTCGCTAAAAAAAATATTTTGAACTTACTTCTTTTTCTTTCTCAATGTCTTCGTTGTCCATATCTTCTGCATCACCCAAGTTGTCCACGGCGATAGCCAAGAACACGTTCAATAAGATATCTGATGTTTTGGGCTAAGGAATGTTATTGTTTACAACATGTAGTGATTTTCTACAATAATAATGATTAAACAAAAAATCCACTTCATATTAAACAATACAATAATGAAGTTGGAAATGAAACTGCTGTTTTTGGATCTTAAATCACTTACATTTGGTTTTAAAAATAAACCAACAACCGTCAATCGTAACCAAGGACCTTTAAAGCATAGTTTTATTTCCAATAAAGTTCTACAGCTTTCAGCGACAGAAAATATAATAATTCAAGTTTTGGAATTATTACAATGTGCTATACGAACTTCACGATACAAGGAATGCAAATCATAAAATCAAATAACTAATCTTTACCCATAAATTCTGAGTATTTGGTATAACGAATCAAAAAGGATACAATTACCACAGATGAAAATGACCATGAAATAAATGGAAGCCAGCATGCCCGGAGTGCCAGCTCCGCCATATGCCTTAATACCTTCGTACATGACTACATTCCAGTCCTCGCCTGTTAGAATCTGAAATAACGTGAACGAAAATAATTTTAACAAGATCTGAGAAAGAAAATAATTAACGGAAAGTGATCTTATCCTTGAAGATTGTTATAGATGGATAAAAAAAATTATTAACGCTGCAAAGGTATTTTTAACCACACAGTAATAAATAACCTGATTTAAGAAATAATATGATGAAATAGTTGAGCATACTATATGGTTTGTACTAATGTATACTTCAATTGAATTTAATGATCTCAATCGATTGAGATCAAGTTATATTTAAGCCTCAATTGAGATCAAGTTTCACATCATCATCATCAACAACGTCAACATATTCTGTGTCCCGATTCTCGGTACGGATCTTATATAAGAAGAGGGTTTAGGCCATAATCCGCCGTGTGGACTTCACACGTTGTCTCAGGGTTGTGAACCTTTTTCTAAGTAAAGCTTTCATCATGACATTTACATTTTTATATATTGCTACCATTGACTTACAAATAAATGGACGACGGGTCTAATACAAAAACCACGAAAAAAATGTCCCAAGTCAACCTATTTAAACGTATTGACATGTAAAGGAATATGAAAAAGCTAAAACGTTGAAATTAAATTGTAATATCATCTCAGTACTGTCTAATTTTGCTTGCTTCGCTGTCAGTCGAACAAACGAAGACTAAAGCGTGAATGACGCTCTGTATATGATTTTAACGCCCTATAAGTTCGGACACTTTTTAGCGCGTACCCAACGTCCATATAATTGTAAGTCAATGATTGCTACCAAAGCTTTCACAACAGTCTGATTCAGGAATTAGAGCCATTGGTACATGCTGCTTCTAAAATTTGCGACGTAGTTTGTTTAATTAATTTGTTATATCATAAAAAAAAAATTAAATGACACAGTCAGAATAGTACACAGTCAGTAGACAATTATTTTTTAAATTAATATTATTATTTTGTACGCCCTAGCCCACATTGGCTAGCGTAGTATAGACCTGGAGAAAACAACGGGACATATTGATAATAATTCTCTACCTGAAACATGGTGAGAACAGCCTGCCAAAACGTATCAAAGTTATGCTTCTCTTTCTCGTGTTCGTCATCATAGTCGAACTTGCCGCCAAAGACTTGCATGCCAAGGAGCGCGAAGATCATAATGAAGAGAAAAAGCAGGAGCAGTAGTGAGAAGATTGATTGGATGGAATTCAAGAGAGATGCCACGAGATTGGAAAGGGAGCGCCAGTATCTGGAAGAAAAAAATAAAGTTGTAAAATAAAAAAAATAAGGTGAGGACGTTGTAGATGCGTTTGCATAAAATTTCGTACAATAAAATGAAAAAGTAAGAATAGGAGAATATACGAGGTGCCCAATGTAAAACAGGTATGTGCAAGGTAGTTTGACCCAAATATTATCCAAGATCCAAGACACTTTCCATAGAATTTTAAGAATACAGGTTTCAATAATTTTTCTATGTAAGAACTAGAGGTGGAGAAGACGATCCATTAATAAATCCAACCGATGGTATATAATCAAACAAAAAGAGACACTCACTTGGTGACCTTAAATACTCTGAGCAATCGAACACATCTCAACACAGAGATGCCCAGCTGGGGGACAGTCTTGGTTGCGGTAAGAGCCATCTCGACCACCGAACACAGCATCACGAAGCAATCGAAACGGTTGAAAAGGGAGACGAAATAACCCTGAAAATTTAGGAAACAATAAATTTAAAAAAATCACATAATTATCATTGCATTGTACGGTAGCGTGATGTGAACAATATGAATTAAGATGCGGAAAGATAGGCAATACTGCATTTTGACAGAAAAAGCTAGAGAATGCCTTTGAATCAAGACAGAAAGAGAAACCATTGAAGAGTTATTAACTAGAGTGCAAGAAAAGAGAAACTTATTAAAGATAATGCAAAACAGCAGGGGAAAGATGATTGATACAAGTTGTTGAAAAAAGTACGTTTTCTTAATAAAAAATGTTAGGAATTGACAAGTAACATATGGACAAGAAATGGTTGCTGTAGTATTGTTTTGTAACACTATATGGAATTTAACGCTTTCGTGGTTATTCATTAAATGATCATCATTATTTAAAAAAAATTGAAAACTGTGGACTTCACTTTTGTGTGTTGATCAGTGAGTGTGGTTTGTTGGAAAAAAGTGAGTGAGTTGGCCAGTCAACCCGTGACCACGGAGCGTTTTATCAGGAAAATAAGAAAAAATCATTTCGTGGTAAGAAACTTGTAATCAGTGTATAAAAAAAATCATTTATAACACTTTGTTTATGTTTACTGACAGAGTGAAGTTTTTAAAATACTTCAGCACAACGAAATCTCAAACCTAGGTTGCCAAATTTCAAATAGATTACCCATCTCACCTGAAATCCTAGCGCGTACATTTTCAACAACATTTCCATGGTAAAGAGAACGATAAACAAAAAATTGGCGCTCTCTTGAAATTCATCTAACCATGGCGGTTGTCTGAAAACAAAAAATACAATGACCAACACTGAACTAATTGTTAATTAAATAATTGGTTGGCTGTTCCACTGTGGCTTTGATTTTGTATTTGGGTTTTTCTCGTATTATTGTTCGTGACAGATCTTAAATACGTAGTTAAATACTTTGCCAATACGCCTCAGAACAGTCCATGAATTTTCGCATGAGATAGTTACCACCATCTATTGAGCACGACGAGAACGTTCAATGTGAATAAAATATTTTTTTTCTCGTGAGTGTGCAAGCATGTTGTTCATAACTTACCCATAATGTTCAGTAGCAAGAACCAAAGTATTGAGAAATACAAGTACAATGATAGCCCAATAAAACGTTTGGGATTTGACAGCTTTTCTACAAGCTCTTCGCATGCGACGATTCACCTGAAAAAAAAGCCCACTTATATTTCAATTTTTCTGTACAACGACTTCCGTCTAAAGGATCAGTTACTAGACCTTATGAACATAAAATGAATGGGGTCATAGAAGCTTACCTTGTCGAACCTCTTACAATAACTTTTACAAGTCGTCGTTTGTTGGTCACCATTCATATTTACATTGCTTTGTGATCCTTCTTGACTCTTTTTGTCTTTATTACCTGTATAGAGTATAGTTAATCTTGATAAACAGTGCGTTAAAACTTAAAGTGTAACAATCATTTGCATAGTGAAAATCGGCTTTGTCATAATATTTCAAATGCTATAATTCTGTTTTTCAGGATAGATCTATTTGCATTGAAAATGCATGGCAATTAAATAGTATTATTATGTACTTAACTTAGTAAATTACGACAAAAGACAAAACTTAAAATTGGATTTCTGGTTGGAAGAAATCCAATTTTAACAATCAAAAAAATGTTACAAATATTCAATATCTTAAGGTGTAAGTCAATTCGTGAAACAAAAAACAAATGTCCGTTATTTGTTTGTGCTTTTGTTGTTTGGTTAGAACTTGAGTTTTTAATTCCACTTAGATACCTAGTGAATCTTGATCTTCTTGCTTCTGTCCCTGATCATTTTCTAAATCTAACTCTTCAGCTACAGTGATCCAATTGAGATAACCCTTCAAATCTTCTTCAAATTGCTGCCTTTCTCTTGACTTCTGGAAGTCACCTCGGTTTTTGGCTTTCTCTCGTTCTTTGGAGAACTCACTGTAAAAGATATTTTCTTCATAAATATTAGCAAATGTTAAATCCATAGTTTCGTCTAAATATATTATATTTAGAAAATATTATTCATCATGACAATTGTACATGCACATAAAACCACTTAAAGACATCTTCTTATTTTAGTAAAAAAAACTAACCCAGATAACACACCAAGAATAAGGTTCATGACAAAAAAATTGCCAAATATAACCATAGATACAAAGTACATCCAAACCCACGTATTGCCTTTCACATCTGCTACCTGAAACAAAAATCATGTATCAGTTTACACTAAAGTCTCACCATTTGAGTCAACGTCTTCTCTATAGAGAAGGTTTCAGGTCCACTGCACTACTCGACTCACTGAGTATAAAAACATCGATATGTAGACGTGGAAGGGGACATTTATGAGTGGATGTTATATGACTATAATATGGTACATGTCTAAATAGAACCAAATCGGTTCACAAACGCCAGAGTAATTGGGTAGAATACACACAGAAATACAGTCGAATCGAATCTGTTTTTGAAGTCGGTTAAAAAGAAGACAGCTAGGTTTTAACAATGTGTCATGTCAAACCCAGCCATAAAACTAGCTAGCGGTAGAATATGTACTTCGTGTAGCCTATTGTAATATACTCATCATCACGCGCCGGTCACGTGAGTTGCCCTTTAAGTCGTTAGCTATATCCGGATATGTCCGTTAGCATTGTCGCAGTAGCTCCAGTACAAGCCCTGAGAGCTAGACAGGTAGAGGATAAGCTAGACATCCTCCAGTCTCTCCAGTCGCGAAGGAATTTGAGAACTGGAGAGACGCTGTTTTTCGGCATCGGGAAGTAAGCCTTATAGCACCGCTACCAAAGAGAAGATTTGGCAGTTGGCTTACCCGTTTTCTGTAAAGCTACTACTAGCTTTACAGAAAACGGGATGAAGTCCGTGCAAACGGGCTGTTCTGCAGTTAGGACCTGACCTGACTTAGATGGTCCCTGCGCGGGCATGCTCACGCAGGTCATAATGCCCTTCTTGTATACCCTAAGTATCGGTAGGAAGGGTCACTATAATCAAAACTAATGTAGAAAGATATGGGGCTGTATTATTTATATTCATTTTCATAGTTTATGGTTCTCCATACAAACTTTCGTTATTTCACCCCTTTAAGATTTATCTTCGTGACAAAAGTAGCCTTCCTAAGTTTCATCTATCTTTATACCAAAATCTTTTTACAGACAGAGTTACTTTCGCATTTATAATGTTGCGACTATTCCTCAGAGGTTGAGTATAAATGTGAATAATTTGTGAGTTTACAAATGAATGTTGAACAAAATTGCTTGCTTTGATGTCCAGAATACAACTTTATAGACATTTAATTATTTATTTACGCAGTCGTCGTTTTCAAACGTTTGATAGAACATAGTTTTTAAGATATCAATTACTTAAAAATTGCAAAGTTGAATGTGGTAGTGCTTTAGAACAAATTTTATAGATTTGCGACTTATTTTGTTAGAAATCATGGACTAATGTCGGAGGCATTAGATAAGATGTTACGATTGCGGTGCGCCTGGTCAGTCAGGGCAAGTCAGGGAGAAAGACTGAATCTCGTAAGGTAATTCGTGTGCTCTGATTGGCCAGAAGCGCCCGCGACACACTAGATAGTTTTATACGATGACTATAACTCTGTACTCAGTTGGGTACAATGGGTAACCATGAGTAGAAAATATTTTGGCGTTGGTAGTAACTATAAAGGACTCGAGAAAGCAGTTCAAGCAATTGGCGAAGGCGAAGTCGTGTTGATGATCATACTACTTAATGCTGCTGTGGTTACTAAAGAAGGGAAAGTTGATATGAAGACAGGAGACTGATGTACTGTACATGTACATCCCGACTGAACTATTTGACCGAACTGTTGAAGTTTTTCCGAACAATAAAAGTTCCCTTTCAAGTAACTGTGATGCAATAGTGATGACAAACCGTCGTCGGTTGAGAAACAGGTATCACCCCAGCGGCAAGAATAATCTTAAATTTGGTGCGAAGTTTCACCAACGTATTTTTCCAATTCTCAAGATACCAATGATGTAAGAGATATACAAGATGCAATAGAGGTACGTACGAATGTCTGAAAATATGTTCGATAACGAAATTATATACCTAATACTGCTCGACAGCATTTTATATGCTAGCCAAAATCCCATATACGTACTTCAAATTGACCTGGTCTTTAGACCTGAAAAAGTTAATTTCCAGTCCAGACTATAAGACTATACGTTGTCTAGAGACTTTTCATTGACGTTAGATAACGGGGCTGAAAAGGCTGGATCAATTCATATCACTATAGGAACTGTTACAGTTATTACGCATGACAAAAAACTGTGGCGGGTGTTGATTATCTACATTATGACTATGACTGGTCCAAATACCTGACATTTTCATATTTATCAGAAAAATTGATGCTATAGATCAACACTTATTTCGACGTAGTATTACTTAGTATAATTTATGACTAGAAAGATAGAAAAAAGATCGATCATCTATGTCATTAGCTGAAGGTACACTCCATAATTGTTCAGGACATTAGCCCAAAATGCTTAAATGAGATGGGATGTAATGCTTAAATGGGAATGCAAGAAATGTCAGAAAATTATATCGGAAAGAAGTCGAATGTCGAATTAAAAACCTCCTCCTTTTTAAAGAATAGATATATAAATTACCACTTACTTTATACATAATATCCGTCCATCCTTCAAGTGATATACATTGGAACACTGTGAGCATAGAGTATCCGATGTTGTCAAAGTTGGTGATGCCGAAATTGGGACCTTCCCAGTCCCCAGCACAAATCTGCTCTGGTGGGCAGGTGTAGCCAACGTCAGTTTCGTTGGTGCAACATCTTTCTGGATCCGCTATAGATTCTGGAATGTTAAAATGTGTCACATACACGGTGCAAGTTTAATTTGGTAATCTTTAGTATGTTCTGAGACATGTTCGCCGTTTGATGGTTTTTCAATCGGCGTTCAGCGTGAGATCAGCATGGCATATATTTTTTTCAGGTGTTTAAAAAATATATTAAAAAATGTTTAAGGTAATTACTGAATACATAATGAATAAAATATAATATTGAAATACAGTAACTAATTCACAAATAAACTGAAGCTTCATTCAAGTAAAACAAATTTTTGTCACGCCTATTTTACGCCGGTCATGATCTTTAGTGACAACGGCGTTGGAGAATTGTCATTGGTGGCAGTGACGCGATGGATATATATAATACCCATTATAGTTCTAAATTTATTATCAAATTATTTTTTATGAACGAATAAGGGTGTCTAAGAAACTGGCTGCGTGCCCCCTTTGTACGCTAGGTGAGGCCAGCACGAAGATCTCCAGAGACGTCGCTCTTTTAAAAATGCTTTTTTTTTTAATGAGAATTACATAAGGGTATTTATAAACTTTATAACAACCTCGCTTTTGTTCCTTGACTTTTAATCCAACAGATTTTACTTTCGAACAAAAATAAAAATATTAAAATAGATCGCTCTAAACGGGGACGATGTCTGTGCAAAACGTAGGACGGGTTTGGGGGATCATCGAGCACGACGCCATAGCTTACGCTTACCACCAAATAAAAATATAAAAAGTGTCAGATAGTACAATAAAAACTTAAAAGTGTAACTAAATTAGTATTAAATTCAATTATTTTTTGTGAAATTACTCCACTAGTTTGTTATAAATTATAAATTATATTAATACAAAGATGATATAATGATGGAACATTTAGGAAAAAACCCTTCGATCCCGCCGGATTCGAACCGACGTCTTCTAGCAAACCGCGCCAGACGCAATGCCAACTAAGCCACGGAACGAACCACCGGATCTCACGAATTTTTTATGTGCTTCTTGTCGGATCTATGTATTTGGTTTTCAACGACTTTTTAGCCGTAGCACCATCTATTAGAATCTATGAAAGTATTTCGTCACCCAATTAGGTAACTTTACAGCTACCAGGCTAGAGATGTCGCTATTAACTGTAAGTATTGAATTGACATTCAATGCTTACACGAAAATATTTCCAATTAAGTTTTTATTCAATGACAGGACGTTTCACCACCATGACATTCAGTTATTTTTTGTAAATTGTTTTTTGTAATTGAATGTCATGGTGGTGAAACGTCCTGTCATTGAATAAAAACTTAATTGGAAATATTTTCCAAGGGATCACCTGAAATATAGACTTTACGTCTAGTTTAGGCGCCAGTCTCCCACAGCCTTAGAATAATAACGCATAGAAACCTAGCCCGCACACGCTAAGTGAGGCAAGTTAGAGGCTTCCAAACGCGCTCCCAGGAGCGCGCGGGCTGTTAGTGCTCAAGGTCATATTGCACCGCGAACAGCTCCAAAATTTATTGCTAAAAATGACGAAATGTGCAGTAAATGGGTGTAAAAATACAACAGACAAACATAAAATAGACACTAACATCGCATTCCACAAGTAAGTAATGCGTTTCAACTCATATTTTTATGTAAATATTCACTAAAACAGAAAAATAATTTCGCGGCAACAAGATACGAAAGTGTTGCAAAGTAACGAATTTTTTTTCTCCCCATTTTGCTATTCTGTTTCAAAATAATTATATTACGTAAATTTTAGTGGTGCCTGTAATTTCGATTTATTTGCGCATCTTGAACTAATATTTACTTGAATAAACATTAAATGTTTTCGTTAACTCCTGTAAGTGATTGGGACACTTAATTATTTTATAATACTTTTAACGGCTCTGCGTTCATGCTTTATTGAATAATTATTTATTTTAATTTTATTTGAATTGGAGCACATATTGCAACAAATTTACAGTATATATTTGTTTCTACTATAGTATTGGCACCACCAGTACAACTTTGATAGCTTATTATAATGTCTTTCTTTTCGTAACTCAAGCGAAATATTTTATATTGAAATATTTTATTTTCTTAAAAGAGGAGCATTCTTAAGCGATTTTTTAATCTATTTTAACAGTTATTTTCTTTAATGTTTGCTTATGGCATTTTCGGTTTTAGGTTTCGAATATGGCACTTATTTCTAAATCCAAGATGGCGGGCGCGATTTTTCGAATAATGGCAAGTTGGGTATCGTTTTCGAGATGTTTGGGAATGTTCAATACAAATATGGCACTCATTTCTAAATCCAAGATGGCAAACACGACAGTTCAAACAAAAGCAATATTCGTAATGAGCACCCCCAAATACCTCGAAAACGATACCCAACTTGCCATTATTTGAAAAATCGTGCCCGCCATCTTGGATTTACAAATAGTGCCATATTCACACTGAGCATCCCCAAATACCTCGAAAATGATACCCACATAGCATTTTTTTGAAAAAATCGTGCCCGCCATCTTGGATTTAGAAATGAGTGCCATATTCGTAATGAGCACCCCCAAGAACCTCGAAAATGATACCCATATTGCATTTATTTGAAAACTCGTGTCC